GTCCATATCCGACCCCAGGGCCATCTTCGACCTCTGGGCCAAATCTGACCCCAGGTCCATACATGACCCCAGGGCCAAATCGGACCCCAGGGCCATATTCGACCACAGGTCCATATCCGACCGCAGGGCCAAATCCGGCCCTAGGGCCATATCCGACCCCAGGGCCAGATCCGGCCTCATAGCCATATCTGACCCCAGGTCCACATTTGACACCAGGGCCAAATCCGGCCCCAGGGCCATATCCGACCCCAGGTCCATATCCGACCCCAGGGCCAAATCCGGCCCCAGGGCCATATCCGACCCCAGGTCCATATCCGACCCCAGGGCCAAATCCGGCCCCAGGGCCATATCCGACCCCAGGTCCATATCCGACCCCAGGGCCAAATCCGGCCCCAGGGCCATATCCGACCCCAGGTCCATATCCGACCCCAGGGCCAAATCCGGCCCCAGGGCCATATCCGACCCCAGGTCCATATCCGACCCCAGGGCCATCTTCGACCTCTGGGCCAAATCTGACCCCAGGTCCATACATGACCCCAGGGCCAAATCGGACCCCAGGGCCATATTCGACCCCAGGTCTATATCCAACTCCAGGGCCAAATCCGGCCCCAGGGCCATATCCGACCCCAGGTCCATATCCGACCCCAGGGCCAAATCCGGCCCCAGGTCCATATTTGACCCCAGGTCCATACATGACCCCAGGGCCAAATCGGACCCCAGGGCCATATTCGACCACAGGTCCATATCCGACCTCAGGGCCATATCCAACCCCAGGGCCAAATCCGGCCTCATGGCCATATCCGACCCCAGGTCCACATTTGACACCAGGGCGAAATCCGGCCCCAGGTCCATATTTGACCCCAGGTCCATATCCGACCCCAGAGCCAAATCCAACCCCAGGTCCATACATGACCCCAGGGCCAAATCAGACCCCAGGGCCATATTCGACCCCAGGTCTATATCCAACTCCAGGGCCAAATCCGGCCCCAGGGCCATATCCGACCCCAGGTCCATATCCGACCCCAGAGCCAAATCCAACCCCAGGTCCATACATGACCCCAGGGCCAAATCGGACCCCAGGGCCATATTCGACCCCAGGTCTATATCCAACTCCAGGGCCAAATCCGGCCCCAGGGCCATATCCGACCCCAGGTCCATATCCGACCCCAGAGCCAAATCCAACCCCAGGTCCATACATGACCCCAGGGCCAAATCGGACCCCAGGGCCATATTCGACCCCAGGTCTATATCCAACTCCAGGGCCAAATCCGGCCCCAGGGCCATATCCGACCCCAGGTCCATATCCGACCCCAGAGCCAAATCCAACCCCAGGTCCATACATGACCCCAGGGCCAAATCGGACCCCAGGGCCATATTCGACCCCAGGTCTATATCCAACTCCAGGGCCAAATCCGGCCCCAGGGCCATATCCGACCCCAGGTCCATATCCGACCCCAGAGCCAAATCCAACCCCAGGTCCATACATGACCCCAGGGCCAAATCGGACCCCAGGGCCATATTCGACCCCAGGTCTATATCCAACTCCAGGGCCAAATCCGGCCCCAGGGCCATATCCGACCCCAGGTCCATATCCGACCCCAGAGCCAAATCCAACCCCAGGTCCATACATGACCCCAGGGCCAAATCGGACCCCAGGGCCATATTCGACCCCAGGTCTATATCCAACTCCAGGGCCAAATCCGGCCCCAGGGCCATATCCGACCCCAGGTCCATATCCGACCCCAGAGCCAAATCCAACCCCAGGTCCATACATGACCCCAGGGCCAAATCGGACCCCAGGGCCATATTCGACCCCAGGTCTATATCCAACTCCAGGGCCAAATCCGGCCCCAGGGCCATATCCGACCCCAGGTCCATATCCGACCCCAGAGCCAAATCCAACCCCAGGTCCATACATGACCCCAGGGCCAAATCGGACCCCAGGGCCATATTCGACCCCAGGTCTATATCCAACTCCAGGGCCAAATCCGGCCCCAGGGCCATATCCGACCCCAGGTCCATATCCGACCCCAGAGCCAAATCCAACCCCAGGTCCATACATGACCCCAGGGCCAAATCGGACCCCAGGGCCATATTCGACCCCAGGTCTATATCCAACTCCAGGGCCAAATCCGGCCCCAGGGCCATATCCGACCCCAGGTCCATATCCGACCCCAGAGCCAAATCCAACCCCAGGTCCATACATGACCCCAGGGCCAAATCGGACCCCAGGGCCATATTCGACCCCAGGTCTATATCCAACTCCAGGGCCAAATCCGGCCCCAGGGCCATATCCGACCCCAGGTCCATATCCGACCCCAGAGCCAAATCCAACCCCAGGTCCATACATGACCCCAGGGCCAAATCGGACCCCAGGGCCATATTCGACCCCAGGTCTATATCCAACTCCAGGGCCAAATCCGGCCCCAGGGCCATATCCGACCCCAGGTCCATATCCGACCCCAGGGCCACATTTGACCCCATGGCCAAATCCGTCCCCGGGTCCATGTTAGACCCCAGAGGCATATCCGACCCCAGGGCTATATCCGACCCCAGAGCCAAATCCGGCCCCAAGGCCAAATCCGTGGGGCTCCCCACTTCTGTCCTAGCAACCGGGAACACCGGGCCGGCCCTTGGGCCCCAGGCAGGAGGGCTACAGACAAGGAAGGGTGTGGGGGGGGGGGACGACTCCAGCAAAGGGGACCAGCTACACTAGCTCCGGGGTCCCGTATCGGCTCCGGCGGCGCTG